TGTATGAGTGAGTGTTTTATTTGAAACCAGATTTTATTTGTATAGGATTAGTCTTTTGACTTTTTCTACTTTTTAAAACCTATTTTATAAAGATTGAATAATCAATCCAATCTACAGAGACTTGTTTATCCAGTGTATTAGCTGAGGGGTAGCTGGCAGCCACAATGAAGAGAAATGATTCTGAAAGTTTGAATAGATGTTTCCAGGTGGCTCCTGGCTTCCAGACCCACAGCAATACCCCGATTGTTCCTAACATGAGCAGGTATATACCTGGTTCCTCAATTTGATCTATGGGCCAGTAGCAGTGACATCATCTGAGCAATTGTAAGAGATGCAGCGTCACTATCCTACCCCACATCTATTGACTCGGAATCCATACTGTAGCAACACTGCCAGGCGACCCTAAGCACATGACATTTGAGAGGTATGCAACAGCTCCACTGCTTCTTGGAATCCTATGAATTACACTAGGAGGTTACTCTTATTTGATGACCTTGACTTTTAAACCATCATCCTTGTCTGGCTCTGTGGATGGGCCCCTTGGGCTCACTCTGCTGGGTGGAAAGGTGACTTTCAGCTTAGTTTTTCTTTCCTCCTGCACACAGCCTGGTGTGGGTCTGCTACTGCTTCCACCTTGCCTTCACCTTCCATGAAACGTCATCCTGTTGAAATTCCTGGCTTTCCTGCACTTCTAGAAATTTCACTGGATGAACACCCTTCTGTTGGCTTTCCATAGTCAACAGTTGGCTTCACCTCGGGATGCTGTGATTCTACTGTTCTTGTGTCTCGTTGCTCTTTTTTTACTTGCATGCTTGGAGCCCCACCCATCTGACTATAAGATGAAGCAGGTTTTGTATGTGTTATTCTTATTCTATAGACCAGACAAGTGAGGTTTAAAGGAGATACAAAATTTCTTTTAATGAATGGCTTTTAATTGATAGAATCAAAACTGAAACCCCTAAAAACACATCAGTGTAGTTACCTCCAGAATGGCCTGCTGTGATCCCTCTTCCTCCCTCTCACTCTGTATCAGGGTTGGTCTGTGTGGCCAGTAGAATATGGCAGAAATGACGGCTTCTCACATCTGATGGATGCATGCTCAGTCGTGTCCAACACTTTGCAACCCCCTAGACTGTAGCCTGCCAGGCTCCTCTATCCATAGAAATTTTCCAGGCAAGAATACTGGTGCAAGCTAGGTTGCTTCAATCGTGTCCAACTCTGTGTGACTGTATGGACTGTAGCCCACCAGGCCCTTCTGTCCATAGGATTCTCCAGGCAAGAATACTGGAGTGGTTTGCCATGCCCTCCTCCAGGGGATCTTCCCAACCCAGGGATCAAACCCAAGTCTCTTATATCTACTGCATTGGCAGGCAGGTTCTTTACCACTAGTGCCACCTCCAGGGTCACCTCTGATATTAGGTTATAAAAGAAACATAACCTCTGTCTTTGTTTCCCTGTCTTGTCGTGGATCATTCATTTGAGGAAAGCCAGTTGTTTTGGCATGAGCAGCATTATGGAGAGACCAGGTATTGAACAACTGAAGCCTGCTGCCTACAGCCATGTTCGTGAATTTGGAAGCAGATCCTTCAACCCAGTAAAGGCTTCAAACGACTATGGCTGTGCAGGTATAGATACCTAAAACATGTTTTCTTTTGTCTTGATCAAAACACAAATGCCCTGAAGACTTTATAAACAGTCATAGTGGTCATGTAACTTAACCAAACCACAACATTACATGAGAAAAAAAATCATATGAAAAAGTTTAAGAATTAAAATAAGTAACCTAGGATTAAAAGAGGATGGGGTGGGACTAGCATTCTCCATTTAAGGAGGCACTCACGCTTAGATAAATGCAAGCACTGCGCTGAGAGCACCCACAGAGCAAGTGCCTCCTCAGGTATTTGTTACAGCAGCACCCACTTCTCAGTACTGATTTCTGGCTTAGTCCGATTGGGCTGCTAAGACAGAATCCCTCAGACTGGGTAGTTTATAGACAATTCAAATTTATTTCTCCCAGTTCTAGAGAAAGGGAAGTCTAAGATGAAGGTGCTGACAGATTTGGTGTCTAGAGAGAACCTGCTCTCTGGTTCACAGACTACTGTGCTTTCCTCTTTTTGCTACATCCTCACATGGTGGAAGGGACAGGGGAGTTCCCTGGGGTCTGTTTATAAGGGCACTTATCCTATTCGTGACAGCACCACCCTCATGACCTAATCACCCCAAAGACCCCACCTCCAAATATCATCACATTAGGAGTCAGAATTTAGCACATACATTTTTAGGAGGACACAAATGTTCAGAATACAGCAAGCTCATTGAATCCTCTTACACCTCTTGCTAGTAATTTATTATTAAGTACATTTTAGAGATGAGAGAATTAAAGCTCAGAAATGGAAGTGTCTTTTAAAATTAGGAGTTATGGAGAGAGATTTATTTATTTTTGTTTACACTGGATTTTTGTTGCTGTGCACGGGCTTTCTCTAGCTGCAGTGAGCAGAGGCTTCTCACTGCAGTGGCTTCTCTTGTTACAGAGCACAGGCTCTAGGCATGCAGTCTTCAGTATTTGTGGCATGTGGGCTCAATAGTTCTGGCTCACAGGCCCTAGAGTGTGTGGACTTCAGCAGTTGTGGTGCATGGACTTAGTTGGTCAGTGGCATATGGACTCCTCACAGACCAGAGATCGAACCCATGTCCCCTGCATTGGCAGGTGGATTCTTATCCACTGTACCATGAGGGAAGTCTGTGGAGAGAGGTTGATTCCAAAGCTGTACTCTTTTCACTCTACCATCACTCCTGATTGTCCTTGGAGGGTTAAGTTTCTAATTCTGTGAAAACTAATGAAAGGTAACATTTCATGAAAATCTATGTTTAATCATTTGATCCGTGGAGGAGAAAAACAGTGTAGATAACCTAAACAAATTTCTACTTGATTTGGGGAAAAATATTTTTTTTTGATTGTCCTAACATCCTAGTATTAGTTTTATCCTAATAATATTACAATTTAGTTTGCACTCCATTTACTGAGTGACAGGAGTTGTTGACAAAGAAACATGCTGCTGCAAAGGTAGAAAAAATCTGAATTGGCAACAAAAATTATTTGGGATAAATTCTGGCATATACAGCTGTGAATGAGTAATTTGAAGCTATCTTTGAAAGTTTTTCTAAGACTTCTAAGTTTGAAACAGTTTATCTTAAATATTGGAAAAAGAGACCCATGATGTAAAAAGCATGGTTTTATTGGGATTTAGTGAATTTTAAAGCATACTGTACCAAATTAAATAGATTTAATTCATGCAGATGTGCTGCTACATAATTCTTCTCAAATAAGCAGCTTTATCAATAAAACTTGTTTGGATTAAAGTTTAAAAAGTTTCAGTGAATAACCAATATAATTTTATCTCTAACCACTAATACATGGGCTATTGAGTCATTGCATTTTACTTTTAATTATCACAACAGTGAACACTCAGTATTTAAAAAGCATTTCATGATTGTTAATTAATTGACACTAACTCCTATTTCCTGGGCATGATAAATTTCCTCTTTTGAAAGACAAATTGAGCTAAATTTGATCCTTTGAGCTTAATTTGCTTTAAATTACAATTTATTCTGAAGCAAAACTGAGGGTAGGATGGAGATATGGAACTTCTAGGTGAGAAATAAAAATTAGGTTGCCCATTAGGTCGCTAACAATGTTAGATCTCTTGATTAAAAGAGGTACTTTAATTATCAAAGAAATAGGAGAGTAAGAAAAAAATTATGGTGAAATGAACATACCCAATAAACTTATCTAATATTTTTTTGTTATTAGTGTCCCCTTTTACATAAAATTGTAATCTACTTAGAAGAGACTATATTTCTTGGATTTACCATGATTCCAACATATTATCAAGTATAAAATACAATGTCTCAGTGATCATTCCAGAAAAATCCATGAAATTGTAAGTGGGTATCCATCTCATTGTGCTAGATACTGTACAAAGCACATGGCCTAATGGTGCAGTTCTGTACTTTCTATCCTGAGACAAAGCATTAGAACCAAAATATCTAATTACTATTTGGTCATAAAATCATTCTGGGAATTTTCTAAGTGAAATATGCATACTTCCCTTATTCTGGTTTTCATTGATGTTTGAAGTGATTATTCACAATAGAGGAACAGCCTGATCCAAGAATAGTTTCAAGCGGAGGTAAAGTACCACACAAAACAGGATTAAAACCAGAGATAACTAGAAGGATTGTTTTCACCAAGAAACAATTTCTTCCTAATTCTCAATTTCCTTTTAAGGCCCCCTTTTGCTCAGGAAATGTAATATCCCTCATCCCACAGTTAAGACCAAAATCAATAGAAACCTTAGGCAGTTATTTCTCATCTTATGAGTCTAGTGTTATTAAGTTCACCTAGAACCTTCTGTAGCCAATTCGGGTAGATGGAGTCATCTAAGGGTAAGAGAAAGATTCTGTGAACTTGCAGAAAGAGAAATATATGAAACAATATCAGCATTCACTCTTTGATTTATTAATTCATGAAGTACATACTTATTATTTCAGATACTAAGTAGTATCAGCCCCCCTTCCCCCTGCAAAAAAAAAGACCCTTTCACATCCTCATTGTGCTTACCTGCTGGAGAAGAGAGAAATATAATCACCAAGCAAAATCCACAGGATATCAAATATTAATATGAGGAAAAATAAAACAGGGAGGGGGGATAAGGGGCTGCTAGGTGGTGAGAGAGTATTAGGGGTTTGTTACTTAAATCGGGTGATCAGGAAAGCCTCTATAAAAAGCTGACATGGAGCAGAGATCTAAAGAAAGTGAAAAAGTGAGGAATGGGGCACATAGATAACCATAAAAGGGAGTGGAAAGGAGCCAAGAATTTTAAGATGCCTCTTGGGATGCATTTTAGAGAGGTTTTTTTGTGGAGCACTTAATGTGGAATAAAAGGAGACCTTGAGAACAGATGTTTGCCAATTATTTTTGGATCCTAGCACCTGTGGGCATGACGGGGCTTTGGTGAGTCTGTTTTACACAGGTGACCCTGGAATTAGACAGAAGGCCAGGAGAGCTGGGTCAGGGGTTATCTGAGGGGCAGGCTCTGTGAGTTTTCCTTTCTGACCTTGAAACATCTGCTTTCAACCAAGCTGTGTAGCTGATTCTCACTTTCACAGAAGCAGACCAATCTTTCTCAAGATAGTCCTTGGTCTGAAAGAAAAAAACTCCTATAACATCTGCTTCCCGCTTCTCAGGTCTGAGTTCCAACTGTGCTACAGTTTAGGCACCTGCTGGGCACCTCAGGTCACACGGGTGACCAGTCAGCTACACCTCTCCTTCTGCCAAAATTCAGCCTTTATTTCACCAGTGAAGAGGTTGCTTTGGGCCTTTAAGAAGCCTTAGTCACTTTCTTTCAATATTCTTTTCTTAAGTTTTTTTTTTTTAATGTAGAATATATTTTAAAAGTCTTTATTAAATTTGTTACAATATTGCCTCAGTTTTTTGTTTTGTTTTTTGACCCAGAGGCATGTATGATCTCAGCTCACTGACCAGGGATTGAACACACACACCCTGCTTTGGAAGGTGAAGGCTTAACCACTGGCCTGCCAGGGAAGTCCCTAAATATTCTTCATGTATACACACACACATGTGCGCGCGCACACACACACACACACACACATATATTTCACATCTTTCACTGGACTGTGACATTCCTTACCTGACCAAAAGAGGGAGTTACTGAACAATCCCTTTTGTGACTCAAAATATATTCTCCCTTACTTCTCTTCACTTATAATAATTTTATTTATTCTAAACCTGAGCCCTCTAGAAAGACAGAGGTAACAAGCTTTCAGAAGCACTGATATTTAACCAGGCCTGATATTCACCCCCACAGTGTGGAGCAAAAAGTTAAGCGAGGTTAAGACCATTTACTAAATATTAAATATGGTGGCTTCCCGGGTGGCTCAGTGGTAAAGAGTCTGCCTGCAATGCAAGTGACTCAGGTTCGATTCCTTGCACTCTCCACTTCCTCTGTAAGGGAAGGAATAAATCTGCTCCCTCTCTCCTCTGCTTTGCTTCTTCCTAAAAACAATTCCTTTGGATTTAAACCAAAGTGAGGTTGGAAAGACCTTTGTCCTCCTATAAAAGGCAAATCCTGAGGAGAAGAAATTCATTCATTCTTACTACTCATTTAGGTACAGCTTCAGGGTGAAGAAATTTGAGAATATTTCCTAAGAGCCAGCAGGCAGTGTGGGAGAGAAAAGGCCACATGAGAGGGTGTCAGGTTACACACGGGGAGACAAGCCATTCCAGAAGGCACATTTTGCCTCTGTCAATTTTGCCAGCCTTTTGCCCTGGTTGGAACAAGAACTTCTGGAATTCTCCCAATAGTCTTCCTGCCTTCATTTTAATTTTGTCATGTTTTCTGCATAGCTCTCTATTGTTCAGACTTTGTTTCAAATATAAATAGTAAATTAGTATTGAATAATTATTAAATATTGAAGATCATTTAGCACAAATGGGTTTATTTCCAGATACCAAGAGGAAATTAGTTTGCATGGGGTGCCCGGACTCTTTTATCTGGAAAAGTTATGCCAATGTAATTTTGGAAATCCATGAAAAGATTTGTAAAAGAATGTGCATACATCCAAACCTACAGGTCACAGACAATGCAAATGCAGGAAAATCAAGCTCTAGAAAAGGGAACAGCTAATTCCAGAGGGCTGAGAGGTGGGCATGAACTAATACTCTGTGGATGGTGAAAAGAAAGTGGGCAAACTTCCTTGGGCCAAACTTCCCTGACTTTCTGGGAGAGAGTTCTTTATTTGGTTGCTATTAATATCTCCATTCTTCCCTGGGGAAATTTGTCTAGTGTGGAAGAAAGAGTGGAAGGGGGGTGAGAGTGAATTTGAAGATTGAGGTAAAATGAGGCTATAGATGACATATTATAAAAAATCTCTTGGATTTAGTATGGGAAACTAGAAATAGTTTGTGGAGCTTGTGGTCAAACATAATTTCCTCAGAACTGCTTTAGATTAGAAGTAAAGCCAGGATGAGGAGGGAGCCAGAATAAGAATGTTTAATAATTCTTCCTGTTATGAAATGTCCTTTTCATATTTATCTTAGCCAAACTTAGAGAAGGGATCCCACTCACTTCTGAAATTTAACCTGTTTTGAGTCTTTCATCTTTGAAAGAACTCCTATTCTGTTTCATCCAATCAGTAGATCAGACTATGATTTATTAATAAAAATTGCCGAGTGCCTACTATGTGCCAGGTGAGCTCCTAGAGCTGGAGAAACAAAAATGAATGAGCTACAGTCCCTATCCTCAAGATGGAGATCACAAAAGAGCCCACAGTCTGTTTGGGGGAGATAGAGATTATCAAATAAATTATGGCAATAGTGATGAAAAGGGCTAACACAGGGTCCTACAGACTTAAAAGAGGCAGTGGTTAAATCTTGGGTAGATGAGAAAAGTCTTCATGGATCAAGGTCAAGTCTGGATCTTGGAGGGTAGAAAGGAGCTCACCAATGGGATAAAAGTGGTATTTCAGTCAGAAGGCATTGTAAAGAGCAGCAGGTGGGTTCTGATCTCAGAGTGCCTTGTATTATCCTGAGGGATCTAAGCTTTATCCTATTAGCCCTGGGGAACCATAAAAGATTTTTTAAGTACATGAATTACACGATCAAATTTGCAGTTTAGTAAGGTCACTCTAGTGATAGTCTGGAGGACATATTGCAGGAGGGCAAGATGATGACCATATTTGAAGTCAGTTTGGAAAGATTTGTTTTCTCAATATTGATTCTTCCACTCCAGAAGCATGGTGTGTGCTCAGTCATTTCAGTTTTGTCTGACTCTCTGACCCTATGGACTGTAGACCTCCAGGCTCCTCTGTCCATGGGGATTCTCCTGGCAAGAATACTGGAGTGGGTTGCCATTCCCTACTCCAGGGAGAAACATGGTATCTATGTCCATTTCTTTTGATCTCCTTTAATTGCTCATAGCAGTATTTTGTTACTTTCATTAAACAATTCTTGAACATATTTTATTGAATTTATTTCTCAGCATTTCATGTTTCTAATGCTACTATAAATGGTATTATTTTAAAATTTCAATTCCAATTGTTTATTGCTATGAAATAGAAATATAGTTGATTTATGTATATCTTTTGATCATGCTTAACTAGATTGTTGGGCTTCCGTTGTGGCTCAGCAGTAAAGAATCTGCCTGCCAATGCAGGGTTTGGTCCCTGGGTCAGGAAGATCCTCTGGAGAGGGAAATGGCAATCCACTTCAGCATTCTCATCTGGGAAATCCCACGGACAGAGGAGCCTGGTGGGTTACAGACCCTGGGGTTGGACACAATTTAGCGACTGAACAACAATAACTAGATTATTAGTTTTAAGTATTTTTAAAAACTAGATTCCTTGTGCTAAGTTGCTTCAGTCCTGTCTGACTCTTTGCAACCCTATGGACTGCAGCCCTCCCTCCAGGCTCCTCTGTCCATGGGATGCTAGATTACTTAGTCATCTAAAAAGTGGACATGATTATGTATTCTGGGAAGAGTTTTACTTTTCTTTCAAATTTGAAGTTTTAAAAATTTCTTCCTTTTTCACAAAAGCTTTCAATAAAATTATGAGTAGAAGTCGTAGTGGACATTCTCACCTTCCTCCCAATCTTGGTGGGAAAACAGAGTTATTAGAATTAACTATTAGAGTCATTCTGGCCTCTTAAGCTCATTAATTCATTATGTGTGTGTATGTGTGTGTGAAACTCTACTCTATTGGAATAGAGCAAGTAGGTAACAGGAATCACACTGGTTCTGGCAGCTTTGGGCCCCTGCCCTCATCCCTTTCAGCCCCAAAGGCCTGGAGGGCTCCTGCCCCGAGGAGGCTCTCCTACTTGCTTGCACCAGGAGAGGCTTCCACTTTGGAAAATTGCACTGAGCAGGCAATTCCAACGTGCATTTTGCTACCAGGTTCACAATTAGCAGCAAATACCCACTATGACAGCAGTAGTGATAAGACTGGACTTGACATTTCAGGAAAGGATGAGTAAAGGGTTAAATCAGACCCAGGCACCACGTGTTAACAATGGTCTCACAGCAGAAGAGGATGAAATGGCTGGATGGCATCCCTGGCTCAATGGACATGAATCTGAGCAATCTCCAGGAGATAGTGAAGGACAGGGGAGCCTGAGGTACTGCAGTCCATGGGGTCACAAAGTCAGACATATCTTAGCAACTAGACAACAATGATAGACTTAAGGTTGTTGAAATTTTCTTTTGCTTATTAAGGCAGTGTTTGGTAATTTGCTTTCAAGAAAGTTTGCCATTTCATCAAAGTTTGTCAATTTTGTTGCCAATTTTTGTTATATTACTAGTGATATTATCAGTTTCATTATTGATATTGGTAATTTTTTCTCTTTTTTTCCCTTGTAAGTTTAGCCACTAGTTTTTGAACTTCATTGATTTTTTTTGAAGCAGCTTCATATTGGTTTGATTCTTTACTATTTGCTTTTCTACTTTTCTTGATTTCTATTATTTATTACTTTCTTCCTTCTACTTACCTTGGGTTTAATCTGTTCTTATTTTTCTAGCTTCTTAAGAATGACACTTAGGCCATTGTTTTGAGATCTTTACTAATACAGCCAATTAAAGCTGTAAGTTCCTCTAAAAGCTCTGTTTTAGCTATGCGTCACAAATTCCAATATATTGGGTTTTAAGCTCATGTATTTTAAAGCAATTTTGTATTTTGTGTGTGTGTGTGTGTGTGTGTGTGTGTATTTTCTTCTTTGACCAATGCTGGTTAAAAATTTATTTTCCAAATATTTTGGAATTTTCTATTTTTTGTTGTTGTTGTTGCTATTTCTAATTGAATTTAGTGTAGTAATGTGTGTATGTATGCTCAGTTGTAGTCTGACTCTTTGTGACCCCGTGGACTGGGGCCCACCAGGTTCCTCTGTCGTGGAATCTTCCAGGCAAAATTATTGGAGTGGGTTGCCATTTCCTCCTCCAGGGG